ATGTTTGGTTTCGTTACCTGCACACATATACGCTCTGGCAAAATTCATTAATAACTAAATTCAACACAAGTTAATCAATATATCTATAATAACTTGTTTAGTTTTGCTATCTATTTTATTAGAATTGGAATAAAGAAATCGAAATAATCGATTTTTGGTGATCGAAAATCTTTAAATAAAAAATGTGTCTTCAAGCGATAAAATCAAAATGCAAATGCAGAATTTGACAAAATTAGTTTAACAAAATTTTTGATATAATTTTCGAGCATATATGTGTGCTGATATATATCTGGCTTAGTTGGTAGTTAAAATAGTTTGCACTTGATATTACGATTACGAATACAATACCACAAATGCCGCAATACGAGGTAGATATTGATTAATTACGATAGTTACGGTATGGGGTTATTACCACCGCTTGGTTGCTTGCTGAGATCTGCCGATCGAAACATTTCCGTGTACGTTACGCTCAAGTTACTACAAGGATATCCGGCAAACAATACAACAAATGATACAGTTGGTACAGTACGAGTAGCATTATGGATATAGATACGAGTATGCATATTATAGAACACAAGAGACTGCAATTGATGGAGTTGTTGCGTAAAGTTTACGGCTTAAGACACGTGCAAGTTTATATTTTTTTTTTGGGATTTTGGTATCAGTTTTTGGTATTGTAGGGGTTTTTTTGAAGCTTTAACTACTTGATTGGGGCGGCAGAAAGAACGGGATTGGTGAGAGAACTGAGGGCGTTACTGGAACATAAATTATCATATCAAATCAAAAGCTTATTTTGGGGTGTGCGCGGTGTGGAGTCAAACAATTGTTGGTTGGGAATAATAGGGTTCTTTTGCTTTCTGTTTTTCTTTTCAAATTTAGAGTAAGGTAAAGGGTTTTATCGAGACTTCAGGTACGGGGATTATCTGGACTCAGAGAAATAGTTAAATAGTGAAAGAGAGACGGAGAGCGGCAAAGAGAGAGAGAGAGATACAGAGGGGTTTTGTTTTTGGTTCTTGGCGATAATTGATCCACATTAGGAGGATTGCTTCAAGTTTGCTCAATTTCAAGTTTGCTTTTATGTGTTTTGTTTTATTTTTGTTTCTTTACGTCTTTTAATCGCGTTCGATTTTTGGCAAAATATATATATTTACACAGAACACCATATACGCGGCAATAGAGCTATATAAAGGGCTATCATGGGTTCAGACTTTCAGTCTTCATCGGATTCCTCACATCCGCCAGCCCTGCGATAGCATTTGGGTACAGTAATCGATTGCTTCGATTGCATTTGGTTGACCTACTTAATTAGTTACATACGCATAAATAGTCATCGTTATTGATAGATGTGGAAAATCATAATTGAAATCAACTGAAAAAGTTAACCTTGGCTGATCGGTTTCTTCGTTTTTTTTTTGCCAGCTTATCGTTGTCGTAATGTTTATCGTGATTTTTTATCGGTTATCACCAGGCACTCGCAACACTTTACTATACTTTTACAAAGTCTGCGTGTGTATGTGTTACTGTAACTGTGTGAGTGTGTCAGAGTTACTAAGGAGAGACAGAGAGATATTGAGATAGAGAGAGATAGATAGAAAGAGACACAAGTAGGGCGGAGAAATTGATACAAACTTCATTTTGTATTAAATTTGATTTTGTTTTTAGCTTAACCATTTCATGTTTTTTTCGTTTTATGCAACAAATTGTTATTATTTTAATTTTTACGTAGACGTTGACAGCATATTCGTTGGTGGCAGGCAAGCAATCTGTTATCGTCGTGTTAAGTTTCTGGTTATCGTTTTTATCGGCGCGGTGCGGCTGCGTTTTTGATAAAATATCGATTATTCTTTTTTGGAATTTGCATCCCCTGATTTGTTCTGTTTTTGTTCTGGGTTCATTTGTTCTTTAACCTGGAATCCTGTAATCGCGCTCTACTAGACTTAAAAATCGCTACAAAATAAAGGAAAGAGATAAATAGAGAGATAGAAGGAGACGGAGAGAGTTGACAAAGCCAAAGCAAAGTTAAGGGATCGCGAACCGAAAAGTTTTAACTAGCATCCGGTTTGAGGAATCACTGCTTAAAATCATAAACCATTAAGAAATACAATGAAAACGATAAATCAAAAAGCACAATTTGAGCTAATTAACTACAGTATAATGATATTTTTATATATATGCAATATTTATAAGCAAAAAACAAGGCGTAGATCAAGTGTGGTTTTGAAAAAAAGAGACACAAATAGTGAAAGAGACGGGACAGGCGGGACTGGTGAGAGAGACAGAGAGAGCAATAGGTCCCTATGAGGAAGATCGATAGAGAAACCGAGCTGAAGTTCGATACTTTCGATAGTTTCTGGGGAGCGGGTGGAGAGTTGGTGGTGAGTTTTTAAAATGAGAACTAGAATTGCTTGATTTGTAATTACCATTTTCTATCACTTTGCTCTTGGCGGGGGGTGGGGATGGATGGGCGTGGCCGCGTGGGCGGTACCGCACACACACGCGTACACACACACACACACCGCCAGCAGTGGTTCAGAGCCAGTCTATCGGCTATCGATAATTGTTATCGCCGCCGCCGCCGCTTGCGTTGAGATCGCTTTTGATTACGATTTCGGGATATCGTGTTTTATTCGGTTGATCGCTGATTCGTTGATCGGTTAATTGCTTATCGGTTATCTTTAGCGATGATTTGATTTGGTTTAGTTGTTCAGTCGCACAAGCTAAGGCCACCTTTTCACGAGTTGCCCTGTTTTCATTTGATTTTACGATTAGATATTTTTTGATTTTGGGTTTTTTTTACATGTTTTAATTGCTCTGTGGTGCTAAGTTATCGCGCGTCACGTTTTTTTTCGTTTTCGATTTCTGTTTCGTTTTGATTCGGTTTTGCAGTTCGCTTGTAAATATTTTTTGTTATATACTTGGATATATACGTGGCTATATGTACATACGAGTTATCACATTCGTTAGCATTATTCGATCGTAGTTCATAGTTCTTGCTCGTAATTCACCGCATCTGGCACCGATGCCCATTATTACTGCCGCACTCTCAACTGTCTCTGGGTTTGTTCGTCGATGCTTTCGTACCAGGTAACCTTCTCTTCTGGGCAGGATCTGATCTGGAACTGGAACTGTCGCTGGCACTGGTACTGGCTCTGGCACTGGCACTGCTAGTGGTACTGATAGTGGTTGCACTGCAGCAAGCTATCGAATTTGGCCAAAGGACCTCAGCTTCCCCAGCTGCTGTTGCTGCTGCCTCGGTTGCCGCCTCCTTCTCAATATCGGTAATCGATCTGGCGTTGTTGTTTCCGCTTTCGGTTATCGCTGCCGGCTCTGGGTTGTCACTGGGCAGGGTTGTCAGGGTTGCCTCATAGCCGCCGCTGCCGTTTCCGTATCCGTTTCCGCTGTAGTCGACCTTCACGTAGCGGGCACATTCGATTTTAAGTTCGTTTCGTTTCGATTTTAGGGGTTCGTTCGGTATAGAATATATAAAGCATTTTGTTTGGGTTTTAATTACAAAGATCGTCTCAAAACCCTATAAAAAGCTTCATCGGAGCAAGGGGCTTTCAGGGGTTAAGAGTTCTGTTAAAGTGTTTGTGTTCAGAGTTTTTTGGGTTAAACACGCACACAATCGGGGGAGTTCTATAGATAGAGCTTAACTGAAAAATCGCTTAAAAATTTTGCTTTTTAAAAACACAAACAAACAAACAAACAAACACACAAACAGCAAGAGGGAGACAGACATAGATATAGTAACAATTACGGTAATATTTATAGACTTTCATAGACATATTAGCTAATCAATCAATTACACAGCCGATTACAAACAATAATCAAATTCAACACAGAAAGAGACGCAAACTGAGTGACATAGAGAAATAGAGAGACAGAGACATGTATCTTTTGTGTGTGTGTGTTGGAAAGAGAGAAAAATATAGAGAGATAGTCCGAGAGAGATGGGAATATGTTGGATGGACAATGGTTATTAATGGACAATGGGCTCAGAATGGGTCTCAATGAGAATTTGCAACGCCCGAAAGAGACGGCAATAGAGAGGACGAACAAGAGACGTCATCATCTTTTGTCCCGCCGCTGGTTTTTTTTTTCATGTTGAAAATAATCCTACTTGATGAATGTTTTGCATATTAATTAAATTTTTTTCTGCGTTTTTTTTCTTTGGTTTTTGCTGACCTTTTCTTGTGAATGTTCATTTGTTTTTTTTTTTCTGTCTTTTGTTGTGATCTTTTGAAGGAATGTGCTCACGGTAAATACATTATTACGAGTATTGTTATTCTGGTTGTTGTTACTTTCATTTGCATTTCGCTTTATTGTTATCATCTAGGGGCCGGGTTACATGTAATGGCAATGGTTAAAAAGTCATGGCCACTAAACTCAAAACACAAACGAAATGAATGGTGGGGGAAAAGTAAAAGTAAAGTGATGGGACGAGTATTACTTTTGACTGGAATGGAATGGTCTTGGCTTGGTATTTCTTTATGCATTGTTACTCGACGATGGTTACATGGGGTTAGTCCCCCAAATTACGACGGTCCACAGGCATCTGTAGAGTTTCGAAGTTTACACATGGGATAAATTGGGTTTTTTTTCTTAGGGGGTCAGTATACAGTGTAAGATACATTTGATACTCTCGGCTTATTGTCTTTCGTAATTTGTATTTAGTTGACTCATTTGTTACGCTTATAAAAGTGGTAGTAGTAGAGTAGTAGTAGTATAAATAAATAGATAGTAGTAGATAGTAGTAACATATTCGATTCGCTTTTGCTTTGCGTTTTCATTTTGCGGTTTTTTTTTTTTTTATGTGTGTCTCAAATCGATTTGGTTTTAGAGATACAATTGGTTTGATTTTGAGATTTGAGTTCGAGTTGAGTTGTAGTAGTAGAGTAGAGTATGGTATGGTATAATCAATCAATCAACCAAAGGCGGTATAAAAGTAGAGCAAGTTCACATGGATTAGTACGGTTGTTACAAAGGAAGTGGACACTCACCGATGATCTACTCACTTGCATAAACGCATAGACGCCGCGTAAAAACTCCATATTTTGCTGCTCTTGAGAACCCTTTTTGGTTGTGCGTTGGGCCCGACTTATATACTGCTTAACGGTGTCCGCAACAAGATGTGGCTTTAGTTTGCGTGATAGAACCCTGCAAGAATGGGGATTGTTTAAAAATGGTAAGAAAAAATCGCCTAATGGTTAGAATTAAAAATTAGGGTCACGACCAGTAAGTATTAGTTTCACAAAGTTCATGATTTCTTAAATATTTATTTTAAGGAAATGTAATTCATATTTCATTTATTTATTTATTTTTTTTTTTTTTTGAGTTATATTACTGTATAATAAGCTTTAAGAAGCTTAATTTCATAAGAGTTTTTTAAAGTGCAAATTATAATTTGATTGTTTATAAACATATAAGTTAATCTTAATTTGAAAAATCAACTTTATATACTAATACTTTTTTTAAGCCTTAAAAATTTCCATAATTTTAGTATAGTTGACACATATTTTGTAAAATGTTTGTAGTCCGCAAAGAAGCGTCACTGCGGTGACATGTAGGTTATTCTTGTTCGAGGTCACCAACTGCCACCCGCCGCTTTTTCAGCCACCATTCCCCTTACTTTTCTACACTTTTCCACCTCACCACTTGGCCCTCGGCTCGCAACCAAATTGAAGCGCTAAGCAAATTGTCACTTGAGAGGTGCTCGCTTTTCTCATCTGCTAAACGGAAACACTTTCCCCAGTCTTTGTGCTAATTGGCCACACTTAGTTGCCCACCCACTTTTCCGCTTTTCCGACTCTTTACTATACAGTATATATGTGTATATATGTCTATATAGTATGTGGTGTGCGTTTGGGCCACAAAATATTCACAAAGGATAGTGCTGCCTGTATGGTTGGAATTTTTGTGCTGGCTAATTGAAATCCTCCTCGACTGACGACTTTACGCATTTTGTGTGAATTGACAAAGCAGATTACGCTTATCGTTTAATTGCCCCCAGCAACAGGGAAACATTCCCATCTCCCATCTCCATTTTCATCTCTGTCTGAGTTTTCATCTTCAATTTCCATCCGAGTTTCCATCTACATCTATCCGCTCCATGTTCTGGCACACACTCACGCATAATTCCAGTTTTTATTAGCCAAGCTTTTAAGCTGTGACTAACCAGAGAAACGGAGATTGCGATTTACATAGGGAGAAAAGTTGCCTCTGCATTTTAGATTTCTTAGGGCTGAATTTTATATATGATTAGGGATTCATATTAATTTGGTATTTTTAGTTCATTTCTTATTAGTTTAAGGCCAAAAAAAAGAAGGCTATCTAATTTACAAAACAAAACTTACTTTTAATTTGAAATAATAATAATAATAAATAATAATAATAATATTTTTTTTAATTCTTCCTCCGAAGCCACTCCCGTTTTTTTTCAGTGTGCAGTTGGCATTTAGGACGATGGCAGTTGGCTGATAAGACTGAGGCTTCATTTACTACTCTATTGACTTAAGCAGCCGACAGCAGAAGCGAGCGCAGATTTTCTGTGATTTTCTCCACTTTTCTGTGGATTAGCAGAGCATTTAATTGGATTCCCATGTGATCACAAAGGCACGGGGGCTCCAACCCCCCCCTTCCATAAAAAAATAAAGGAAATATATATTGCAAACACCAAGGGGAAGAGAATCTGTGGAATTTAATTCTTGAAAAATGCAAAAATGAATTCTTTCTAATACCGCATATTCCCCGGGCAAAAAGCGGCGAAAAGAAACTAATAAAGTTAGCTCTGGGCGGGCTGCCAACGCGCATTTCCGTTTCCGGTGTGCTCCTAATTTATTATTAATGAAAAAAAAAAGAATGGAGGGTGGGGAACAACTGCTTGCTGATTACTTTTGCGCTTTTGCTTGGAACATACACGAATCTCGCGTTGCTTTTCGACTTTTTGGACGCGACTTTTCTGCATGTTGACCCTCGGGGTCAAATAAATTCAAGTACAGAAGCAGCAGAGGGCGTAGGGGGTCGTGGCAAGTTCCATCTTGGCACGCCGAAATTGAAAATACTTAAAAAGGCATCGGCAACAGAATTTTTAAGTTGTCCTTTGGCCTTATCGACTTTGCCAGCGGGGTGCATATCGGCTTAAATGTGCTTTCAATTTATTTAAAATGTGTTTGCTTACTTGGAATTTAATACGCTTTTTAAAGGTCACAAAATATGCAAAAAGTGGAAAAAATAAAATTTTTCAAGTCCACCAAGGATTTATATATGTCATTGATGTCACAAAAAAAAAAAATCAATCATGTTTTGTATATACAAAATGTTATAATAAATAAATTTAATTGGGTTTAGACTAGTTCCAGTTTTTGTATTCTATTGCTTATGATTTAAAGACCTTCTTAAGGACTTTTAAATACGTTTCCTCTGGTATTTTCAAGTCGACAGTTTTTAAAATTACCATTTCAACTTTTTGTCACTGCCTTCGGCATTCCATAACACACAGATTTGCTCCTTTTTTGTGTTATTGAAATTATTTGACCTTTCCGCTGAGGGGCACAAGCTTTTAATTTATTATTATTTTCTTAACCGCATTCACCTTCTGCTTGGGCGTCCCGATCCGCCCTGTATGAATTTTCCTTTGGTTTTTTCGGCGGTTTTCGGTTTGTTTTTCCTCGGCTTTTGTTTTGTTTTCCTGGCTGACAGGCGTAACAGAAATGTTAAATTGCGAAAAATAAATCTTGAAATTGACTTTGTGCAGGGTTCGGTTTGCTTTGGTCGCAGCCGTATTTATATATATATATATATATATATTTTTTTTTTTTCCGGGTTTTGTTTTATTTATTTGGTGCTTTTTTCACAAACTGTCGCCTTTTTGAGTTGCTGCTGACAGCGTGAAAATCGAGATAAATGTGTTTTCACTTTCCCACTCCGCTTGCTATCGCTTGTCAGCGGTTAAAAGAACAGTTTATTTAATTTGTTACAGAAAAGGAAATCGAAAAAAAAGGTAAAGGTGAAGAAATTTTATTTAAAGATTTGGTACCAGTGAGAGTTTCAAAGATAAAGGATGTCTGTGCCGCTCAATACGTAAAAATGAAAGCGAAGTGCCAAAATTATCTGGTAAATATTTCTCACTGGCATTCAACAGTTATAGAGGGCTAGATTGTATCGTTTATATTTTCTTTAAAACAATCGGAAATATGAACTTTTAAACATTTTTCAATACTCCAGGTTTTTTATTTAATTTATTAAAAGGTAATAAATGATTTAATGTAGAGCAAATATTTCCCTTTTCGCGGTAAATTGCTATGTTTAAATAACGCAAAGCCAAATTGCAACTACAACTTCACTCAATGTGAAATAATTTCAGTGCCAGTTATTTTGGCCTTTGGGTGCTTCATCAACTATTTTATTAATATTGGATAAAACAAAACAGAGTACAGCAACATTTTCTCTGCTATTCTAGCATGAAAACCATATTTATTCGACCATATAATTTTTTTTCCAAGTGCGGCACTTCAACTTTTTAAAAGTAAAATATTTACAGTACAAATCTTGTTAATTTATTTTACAATTTCATCAAATTATATTTATAAATTATAATTATACAGTTATATTTGGTTTTTTTTGGCTATGACAAACATACGGAATTCGGATAAATACTCTCCATATGAAATGCATGTTCCGTGTGCCACAAATTTCCGTGGGCCGAAGACTGCCCCCCTCAAAAAAATGCACATATTTCAGGGACTGCATAATTCAGCGAGTGAAACAGCTGCCGTTACTGAATCGGAATCTGAATCAAAATCGGAATCCGAAGCTGCCATAACGTCGCAATCAATTTTGGTGCATCGACTGGCCGGGGGAAAAACAGGGAATAACAAGAGATTGTCTGGTTATTTTACAGCCGCAGCCAATTTACTTGTGCCGACTGACAGCCGAAGCGTTGGAATTGCAAATTTCCCAGCGGACATAGAAGGGGCTGATGAAGCTAGCTAATCCGGAGCTCAGGTAAAAGTAGCACGTCATGTCAGTTAAATTAAAATGTATTTGGCAAAAGTAAATGGAAATTCTTAGAATAAGCTTAATAACCTTGTCTTATAAACTCAATTCTATTTAAAACAGCCTAGTTTTGAACTCCAGCTTATGATCATGGTCACACATTAAAGTATTATAATATGGTCACACTAATGACAATAATATATTGGAATATAATAATATTTTCAAATCTCACAATGTTGCAAATTAGTTTGAATATTCACAAACACCAACATCACATAACAGTTTAAGGTATCTATTTAGTATTATTTATATATCAAACAATTAAAAAACAAAATAAAAATATATTTGAGGAATACTGCCGCGTACCTCGATTCTCTAGCGATGCGGAGACAACTAACAAATAATTATGCCCCAGCAGATATTTGCCGCAAGTGAAGAAGCACTAGCAGCGCAGTTGCAACAGTTAATAAGAGAAAAATAAAAAAATAGAGGAAAATGCGAAGGGAAATGCAGGAGCCTCAAAGTATGGAACAATAAAACGTTCTCGTGCATGTGTCAGTAACAGAAAAAAAGGACAGAGATACATAAAAACGATATGGCTACAAAGCCATTGGATTGCTCATTTCAGATTTTACTTTCTTTCCCCTCTCATATTATATATTTTTTATTTTACTCGCTTGCCATTTTTCTGTCAGCATAATAAGCGCAATTAGCAAGAGCACACTGGGTGGAAAATAGTTGGAGAAAAATAGTTGGGGGAAAGCCACTTAAGCGTGCAATAAGAGAACGAATTAAAAGCCAAGTGCAAGTCAAGTGGGAAAGAAATATAAAATACACAAAGCAAGATAAGCTTTCCAAATAATCAAGGAAAACAAAAAGCTTGCGTAACAAGCAATATTTAATAAGTATCTTCTAATTGCTAATTAATGTTTTTTGATTTTTTTTTGACCGCAATGAACACTTGCCGCATTTCACATTAATCCATTCCTTCACATATTAATCGGAAAATTGCTAAGACCTTACATGGTCACTGGGCAGCCTTCGTTTCATTTTGAAAACTTTGACAACCCTTGCGCCCATTTCCACCCGCTTAATTGTCCACCCTGCCTATATGTCCTTTGTTGCGGCGAGTCCTTCAAGATTGCCCCCCTTGTTGTCCTATA